TCGTATATGATTGATGAGTAATTTATTTGGTGCAATTTCCATCCAACGATACATGTGATCTTTGTGCGAATTCTAAGAAATTAAAAAATTCAATGAATATTTTACAATTTTAACTTCAAAAGAGTAAGAAAGTGCATCCTCAAATACAACTTATTTAATTATTTTAAAACAATAAGTTAGAATAAAACTTTTAAAAATGGGAGTGAATGAGTCATATATATTTTAGAAATATATTATAGTCCTATTTATGAATTTTATCCTTCTTTTAATCCTATTTGGAGGATTTCTTTGGTGGGTTTAACATATTACTAATATTAAACTTTAAATATATATTACCCTCCAACCAATCCTAGATCTCCGGCCTCTCTAGATAGCTCCCCCCCCCCCCCCCCCCCTACATTTATCGCGCGTCTCTTACGCATTCAACTTGGGCCAACACAATATGTTATATACCATGTAATATTTACCACGTAATATGTTATATATATATGATTAAAATACATGTTATTTACAAAGATATGATTTCATAACTTAATCATATATATTATATACTGCTTTTATACTTAAATTACTATAAGAGTATATATGTTATGTTAACTATTAGTCATATTTTTGTAAATAAGTTTCATTTCAGTAATATGTTTATAAAACTCTCTTAGCATTATATAGTAATATCATAACAAAAAAGTATTTTTTCGATTTTTTCCAAATCAGTTATAATAATTCTAATGCAGCGAACATGTTTGATACGTATGCATAAGTTCTGTCTTTTAACTTTTGTATTATTTAAAGAATTCTAAAAACTTTTATTTTCATGTTTGGGATTACACTTTATATATTTTTTAAACTAATATCTTGTTTAGAAGTTATATTGAATATATTATGAGAGATTTTAGATATATTTTTTAGCATTAATTAGTCACAACGGGTTATTGTGCTAAATAGAATTAATTAAATCAAAGACAACTTTTGTCAAACAACTGTAACATTTTTCTTTTAAAATCCTTTGAAATGATTACGTACTTATACACAACTAAAATTAATGTTGTTTACAAAAATGTGACCTTCTTATATTCAACTTTTATACTTAGATAACTATATATGAGACACAATTATAGTCATATTTTTGTAAATAAGTTTCATTTCAGTGATATTTTTGAAAATCCTCAAATTTTTCGGCCGGATAATTTCTAAAAAATCACAAAAATGTCTTTTCAACTACTTGTGTCAGACATATTTTACATATCAATATATTATTAATGAGGACGTTTTTAATTCGACTATAATTTTTTGGTCTAGTCTGATATGAATGTGTGTGATCAGGTTTGATAGATGTTTGTGCTATATGTATTTTACAAACAATACAAGTCTGATACTCTGGTCTAGCCTGATATGGGACTGAAACTAGTCCAACTAAAAATATCCTATTTAATTGGAGTGTAATTATATAGTCTCGTTTGGTATGATCTTATCCGATCTGATATGATTTAATTAAATCTACTTTGGTCTGGAAATGTATCTTCTGTTTGTGAGTATTTGTTCACTGTAATAGTCTGATTTGGTTTATTCTTTTTTGAACTAGTCTAGTTTAGTGTGAGTATGGTCTGGGATTCAAACTGATATATATAAAAATATTCTAAGTGGCCGGATCTAATAAATTGATTGACTAGCTGTTTCCATACATGTGTAGTTATTTATTCCATTGCAACTGATTATTTATATCTCAACTTTTAAATTTGTCGCTGTCATACTAAAACTAATTGAAATTCGTTAATCGATAAAGTTTTATTAATTAAACCTAATAGCTACTCCGTATAATTTACACCTCTGAAAAAATTACACAAAAAGGAAGAGTTGAGCGGTTGACTGTTAAGGATAGATCCAGTACGTCAACTAAAAAGTCTTTAACCTACTCCGTATTTCATTATATATTGTCTATAACACTCAAATAGACTGAATTAGTTGATTTTACTGAGAAGTTCTGACTAAAATTTATAAATATAAATTATTTTGACTATTATACAATTCGGCGCTTGAAATAAATTATATTGTATTTAATAAAAAAATTGAAAACATACGGAGTAGGGGCACACTAGTAGTGAAATTCTTGGCCGAAAGCAGGGGTATCGATTTTATTTAAGTACTAGTAGTGAAATTACTGATCGAAAGCGGAGCACTTGCCCCCCTATGACCCTCCCTAGATCCTCCACTGTTGCAACTGCTGTTGTTGTTGACTTGACTAAACAAATGACTTTTGAAAAAGAATTTTCTAGAAGCGAATTATGTTTATTGTTTTACCATTTGGATGGAAACGAGTTTCAAAAGTTTTAAGATTGCACTCCATGTTGATTTCTTATATCATGTGAAATAACGCTCCTAATATTTTAAAAGTGGTCAAAATAACGTTATGTCGTTTTTTTCCTTTTGTTATGTCGTTGTGTGAAGTGTTTATGATAAATTTATGATAAAATATTTAGTCACGGGTGCATTAATATATACTCCTGTAAATTAATTAATGATTATTAATAAAAGTAATTATAATAATGCTTCAAATTTCGCAGCAAATCCTTCCTCTCATTTATTCTAGTCTATTTATATTTATATTTACTAAACGGAGTACCTGTGTGATACATGGCCGGGTATATCTAGACTAGAAAAATAATTTATTTCAAATTATGTTTTTTAAAGATGACACGTATAATGCATACTTTCGTTAAAAAAATATACAACAGAGCTTATATGTTTTAAGTTGTACTATATAATAGTAGTTTAATTTGTAAGAAAATAAATTTAAAACCTTCATAATTTGTAAACAAGGAAAATTTATAATATAAATTTTTGTAACTCTCTCAAAATCGGTCATGGAGAAAACATTTTTGTAGCACAATGTCTAGATGTTTGTGTTAGCAGATATTATTTTAATGACTCACTTTCACATGTGTACATATTTGTTCATGTATATCACTTGCACGTAACCCCACTTAGCTGTACATATCTTCTATATTATTAGCAATTTATTAGGCTTATTTTATGTACATGCGATTAACAATGTATCTAGACTAGTTCTTTGTAAATACTCTAACTAGATAGAGTTTGTATGCAGCCAATTAATAGGCAGTTCGAATAATATGAATGTTTGTCTCATTTTTTACTCTCATTTTGGCTTGACCATCACGAATTAGATGTTTGTCAAATTGTGGATGTTCTATGTAATTAGCAACTAGTTTTTATTTTAATTAGGAATTAATGAACTAGTTAGATGATACAATATCTAACATCCATCCAATATTACATTTTTTAAAGACGGTTCTATAAAGACGCACCACGATCGGCATCTTCTCTTCCTATTCCGTGACTCCTCCTTTAGGATTGAGAAATACGATGTCATTGTAGCGACACCAACTCCTTTTTACGTATTCGCTGCCACTTCGCAACCAGAGAGCTTAGTTTTGGCTATGCTCTTCATTAGTCCGGCAATTCAGTGATAACGCTCAGAGCAACGTACAAGTGGTCTTCTCCCTAGCTTTCGTCTAGGGTTTGTCTTTCCGGCAGGCAGTTTGCGTTGTTTCTTGTCCGGTGAATGATTTGGAGCAACAGGGAGAGGACGGTTGTTACCATGCTCTGCCTCTAACTCGAAGGTCTGTTTCCCTATGATTGATGTTTCTGGATGTACTGCTATGAATCAAATCTGAAGGTCTGTGATTGATACCTTCGATGCTAAACTCGCCTGGTAATTTCTGGATCGAGTTCTGAGCAAGGGAGAAGAGATATCAGCTGTGACAACGCACCCGGGCATTCTTGAAATTTAGTTTTTAATTCAAGGGAAAAGGTGCAAATAAGCTCTCGAACTAACCGAAAAAGTGCAAATCACCCCTTTTATGGGAGGCTCTGTCTGGCCGTCGCTATTTGGGGCGGTTACCGGTTGAATTTTTTTGATGAATATTTTTGAGCATCTTTTTCATTAAGTCTAGTTTACCCACACCAAATTTCAGATACAAATTCAACCAGGAAGGCAGTCAAATGATTTTCTGAAATATGCTGCAATGTTTAACCGCGCAGTTATCTTTAAATATATATTTGACTACCTTCATGATTGAACTTTTAGCTGAAATTTGGTATGGATAAACTACACTTAATGAAGAAGATGCTCAAACAATTTCATCAAAAATTTCACCGGGAACCGCCTCAAATGGCGACGGCTGGACAGAGCCTCCTATAAAAGGGGTGATTTGCACTTTTTCGGTTAGTTCGAGGGCTTATTTGCCCCTTTTCCCTTAATTCAAAGTTCATGCATTGAATTTCCTATTATCGAACAATTGTAAAACGATTAATGTTTTACGTAAAGCATGATTGATCATACTACCGTTTGGGCTCGTATAATAGTGTTGGACTTTCAAATACTTAATTGGGCTATCTTATTGGATATTAGAGCCCAACACTATGTAAACAAGGATACATAACCCTTCGACACAAAATAAGGACGGTCTGGCAGCCCAAATGTTATTTTGGGCCCAACCTGTTAAAAATAGTAAGTATTCAAGAATGACGTCTTAGGCCCACTCGAGGGTGGCCCACATGACTTGTAACCCAATAATATAAATGCAAAAGTCACAAATAAGTGATAGGATGATTAGAGAAGAATACAAACTCCTATAGTCCCATCTTCGACATTATTGAGTTAAATAATAGGAATAAGGCTTTTCTCCAAATTATGCATCATATAAATTGTTGAGGTCACCCTAAACATATTGGAGACCAATAATATTATGTAGATAGTTTACTTGTTCTAAATAAATTAGAATGGGTACAAAAGACATCTCATAACAAAAGATAAAATACTAGGACCCATCTTTAAATTTTTTGGAAGTATTGGAAGATATTTTTGACCCCAAATTAATTGGGATCAATAGGGGTGCGTCCCATACTTCTTGACACCTTCAAAACAAAGAAAAATATATGTTAGGAGTAGGAATGAGCGGATGAAAACGAAGGGTAGCTACACAAGACATGCATGAAGGACATTCAAGAGGGATCACCATTCCTATTTCCGCACAAAATGAGTGTGCCGGTTGTCTCCTCCATAATTGGAGATATACTCGTCCAAATGGGGTGGTTGAGGTGTCCCTGTATATCCCTTGAAGCCTACTATATATCATTATTGCTGCAGTTCTGGAGAAGAAAAGAGAGAGAGATGAATGAAAAACAAGGTAGAGTGAACTGTCGCATATAAACTTGAACAGTTGGAGTGTTATTGTTGTTTGCTTCATATCTTGAGCTACACTCGTCCGAATAATGAGTGTGAGGTGTCTACAGAAAGCTCTAAAAATAAGGAATCCTTGAAGGTGTGGTTTGCATCAAACGGAGTATTGGAAGGCTTCCAAATCATCGAAGGAAGAAGCTACCTCGCAGAAACGGATTTGTTCCTTTAAAGTGAGTTTGAACCCAAAACCTTCCTTTTCATTATCTAAATGATATGAAAGAATGGTATAACTATTATACACTACTTCAAGTGTATAATATGTTATTTATAAGATTAATTTATTGAAGTAAATGTTAGATTCTAACCTAGAACAAACTTTGAAAGGTTAGGAAACGATTTCGCCGGAAAACACCCATTCTAGGGGCTGTTTCCGTATCGTCGGTTAGGAATTGAGCTAGAACCTTGAGAAGACTGTCTAACACTCATTTCTAAGCCCGGAATCAGTTCTCAAACTTCCTTGGCCGAAGCTTTGAGCATTGAATTGAGAAGCAAATGTTTAAAACTCATTTGAGGTGAGGATCGACATCTAGTTGCTTACAACTTGTAGGTTAAGCATGAGATTACCTAAATACCTAAATCATGTTTTCATGGATTATGATGATTAATTAATGATCAAATATTGATATATTTAATAAGGAACAGAATTGGAAATGATTTGAAATCATATTGATAAAGTGGAATTAAATGGGTTGTTAAAAACTATTATGTATAGTAGGCATTTTGCTTATGTATGAAATGTGTAGATTCATAAATGAACATTTATGTACAAAAATGGATGATTAAGTTTCTGCTACATATCTGATGGATTATAGGGTATCCAAACATATATAAAATGGAGAGATTGAGCTCAAGAAATGTGGAGAAGATGATAATGAATAATGAATTGAGAGGTTTAGGGTTTACAAGAGCTCCTTTAAGGAGTATATATATAAGGAAATCCGGGTCTCGGCCTATAATATGGGCCCGACAGACCCGGTTACATAAAAGAACCAATAACATCTGAATAATAATGTACAATAATATGAATAACATTCGATAAGCATGTGTGGGCCGTTGTCCGGGCCCAATAGTTGTGAGACCCGGGGTCCGAGTCCATATACTCTATCAATATCTATAAATATGTAGGGGCTTACAAATGGAATATTTGAGTTCATAGGAATAATCTTAATAGTATTGAAATACTAGTTAATGATTATTTGTAATTGTTAAAGAATTGATTCTAAGGATTTGATTGTACTTGAATGTGATTCAAGTGACTAAATTGATTTAGTATGAAGCTAAGATCATGTTATGGGTAGTTCTTAAAGATTTTCCAAAATAGATTATTGATATCTCAATTATAGGCATAGGTTTGCTTAGGAATTGAGTCTATCTCATGACACGGTGATGTACTTGAGTTGGACTCTAGAAGTGCATGGGTAGACAATGGGTTATGATTGATGACATGCATGGTGATGTACTTGAGTTGGACTGGGCGAAATGGTCAGCCATCACCAAATCTAACCTGGCCTACAAGGCTGAGAATTGCAAAAGGAACAACCAAGGGTTTGGCTTATCTCCACGAATGCAATCCAAGAAAATTCATCCATGCAGCCATAAAACCGTCCAATATCCTCGTAGACAATGACTTCCAACCTTACATTTCCGATTTCCGCCTCAACCGCCTGATCAGCATCACAGGCAACAACCCTTCATCTTCCGGTGGCTTCATGGGAAGAGCCCTTCCTTACATGAAGTCGGCCCAACTGAACCGGCCCAACAACTATCAAGCACCAGAAGCTCGAGTCTCTACCGAGAAGCCTACACACAAGTGGGACGTTTACTCATTTGGGGTGGTCATGCTTGAATTGCTCACTGGAAAGTTGTAACACCGACCCCGAGCATATTTACTTTTAGTAAATTATGTAATAAACCTTGAAAGATTATTTATGAATTTGCGTAAATGTTAAATTCCATTATTTCTTTTACGTGAATAGTAAATTGCATGTGGGGCCCACAGCGGGAACGTGGACCGCCCGATAATTCCCGAACCACATATTATATTCATCTTGGTCTAGATGACACCTATATGGGGGTGGATATTCTATTTGGGCCATAAGAAAGGCATGGAGTTGACCGGTTGGTCAAACGGGGCCCAATTACCGGTATTGGCAATTTAACGGATAACAGCCCGAAATGAGTTTCGGAGACTCCTAAATTAATGTTGGGGAATATACATCTATTCTAAAGGCCCATAATTATTAGGAACACGTGATATATTTTATTTGGCCTGATAAAATAAAATATGATTAAAACGGACCGAGAAATACAACTTTCGGGGCCGATTGTACACACCGGGACGTAATGGGATGACCTCCCACATAAGTGGGGGCCACCCCACGTTTTTATGGGTGCTGATTGATCAAATAATGGGGGAGGGGAGCAGCTAAACGTGCTGGTACGCACAAGGGAGAGGGAGGAAGTCTCCTTTGAGACAAAAACCCATGCTAGGGTCCTATCCCACACAAATCATTGTGTTGGTTGAAAAGGACCTCTCCCCTACCCTCTCTTCAATCCATTCGGCCAGCACAAGGGAGATAAGGTCCAGGGAAAAGGCTCTCAAAGTTCTGGAGCTGAAGAAACCAAGAGGAGAGAAGGATCCAAGAAGAAAAGCTAGAAGAAGAGGGTAAGAACACAATTTCTACTCTTTTAACTAGTTTTATTGTGCATGATTTTTAAGAAAACATATGGTGGATTAAATCATGAGTTCTACACGTTTAAAAGTGTAGAATATTGATATAAAGTGGTGGTAATTAACTTAGGAGGGTTGGCCAATCGATAAGGTTCGAAACCGCCGGAAACCGCCACTTCAAAGGAACTAGTCGTAGTTGCAGACCACGAAAGCCGCCCGGCTTTCGTGAAATCCGCCCGGATTTTGCCCAGCAGTTCAGTTTTACACCTCCAATCGGCCTAGAACAGGGATTGATCGAGGGGCTTGGCAAAGGCAACTATTTCAGCACTTCATAAGGTGAGGATGGCTGACTATATTGCTTATAATTAGTGCGTTAATTTCATGAGATTACCGAATGTAATTAAATGTGTTTTTATGGATTATTAATGATTAATATTGCCTAAAAATGAAAAGACTAAATGTCTAAAGAAAAAGGAGCATTATATACAAATTTAAGAGTAAATTGTGTATGTTCATGTGGTATGAGTATGTTGACTTGAAAGTGGAAATTATTATGAAACATATGTTGAAATATATTTTTTCTTCATATTAGAATATATGAGTGATTAAAAGTGATATTTTGAATATTGAGATAAATGATATTCTCAAAGGAAAATCAGTTGGAATTGTCTATATGACTATGAGTGGAGAACTTGGTTTGTTGATATTAATTTGACTAGTATTAAGATACTAGTTGGACATTAAAATGAAATGTTGTTAAGATTGATCCTAAGGTTGGATTGTGAAATGTTATGCCTTAAGTAGTCTTAAGAGATGCTTTAAGGTAGGAAAGTATGAACTTTAAGTTATACTAGGGGTAGGCCTTAAGGGATACCCAAGATAATGTAAATATTAAATTGATCCTAGATATAGGATTGGCCTACGGGTGTGCTCGGTAGTCCTTGTGGATAGCCGGTCGAATTATGGAAATAGTAAGGACCATGGCCCTTCCCGACTCTAGAGAGCGGGGTTGGATAGCATGGACTTACATCGTGATCACGGGTTAGGATGGAATCCGAATCGGAGACCTAACTAGGTTCCGGTAGCGGTAACACATAAGATAGGACCCCGAAGGGCCTTACCTTCCTACGAGATGAGGGGTATGAGTCCAGGGGCGGGATGTTGGAGTCCGAACCGGGAGCCTCGTGAGGTCTCGGACAGCGGTAGCAAGTCCCGTAGAAATGATAGGACTCAAGGGTTGGGTTGTGCAAATGATAAATGAAAAGGGATATATAAGAAGGGCCGTGTGCCGACAAATAAATAAATTTACTTATTATAAAGATAATAAGTGGGGAATATAAATTATTATTTATATTATGATATCACCCTATTTTAAGGGTCTTGGAAATTAAAACGTTGATTATACTTAGTATAGTTGCTATTGTACTTGTCAAATATTTCCAAGTACTGACCTCCCCTTCACGGGGGAGGCCACCTCACAGTTTCAGGTAGGACTTGAAGGTTGCTACTGGTGCCCGTTGCTCGGGATATTCAGAGGAGAAGACGTGGTTCGTGCTTCTTCTGTTTTTCTGATTTCAAAAACAATTATAATAATGCTCATGGATATTATTTTGAATAACTATTTGGGGGCTTGCATGCCCATGTATGCCAAAGTGTGGCTAAGACACTTTTATTAAATGCTTCCGCTGTTTTAAATGAATGTTTTACATTATGTTTGTTTATGGATGTACTATGTGTGAATGATATTCATGACGCCTTGTATAGTATGGATGAGTTGGGCTGCTGTTGACTATTCGTACTGTACGGCGGGTTGTTGACGTGTCCGGCTAGGTCCGGAGCGTGACAAAAGCCGTCAGAGCTCTCACCTTCAACCACTTCCACCTCTGCTGGGATTCCGAACTTGGTGAGGTGGGTAAGGAGAGGGTTTGGAGAACATAATCCTCTGTCAGATTTGGTTGATCCTATGCTGCTTCAAGAAGTTCATGCTAAGAAGGACATAGTAGCAGTATTTCAAGTGGCACTTGCGTGCACTGAGGAAGATCCGGAAGTTCGTCCAAGGATGAAAACGGTGTCGGAAAATCTTGAAAAGATAGGTGTGTGAGATCATGAGTGTGTTCCTGTTATTCCTATGAATAACATCATTCTTTTTCAAAGTGTATATATATATATATAAATATAAATATAAATTCAGTCATTTGTTTTTGAAAAGATAGGTTCTTTTTGCAGTAGAGTTTTTGTACAACCTAACAAAGTTCCATCTTACTAGCTAGTGTTGTCGTTCTTTAATTTGGGCAGCTTTCTTTAATGTTTAGTTTCATTAACATTTAACAGTAATTAGAAAAATAATTTATTTTTGCAAATATTTATAGTAAAATTCTTACACTTTAAAAACATCTTCAATGAAATCTTATCTCATTGCATGAAAAATTGAACATGATCTGAGTAGTCCTTCCCAATAATGTATATAGTGTCTTGACAGCAATAGGACTATTAAGTTATATTTTAAGATTAACAGCTTGATTAATAATCACCACGACAGTAAATTTGAATTTCAAAACGTTCCCTTTCAATCCACTTATCATTTTTCTTGAGAATCATGTCATCGACTTATCTATGCTCCCTCGATGTGAAGCCATGGTAAGATTATGTTGCTACTTTCTTGGACCGGCAACAGGTCAATGGCCTTGGACCCATTTAAAAAAAATTAGGTCTGATAATTTTTGTGTTTGCTGCAAGGAAATCACTCTTTAATATAGTGGCATTGTTTTCCTTGATAACATTCTAATATTGTGACAAGGTTATGTCACACTGTGACATTATTTAATAACATTGTTACAGTATTGTGTGAATTTGTGATATTAACATTGTGTCATTGTAAAAAATTGACATTTTTTTCATTAATGACATTTTGATATTGTGAGATTGCGTAATAACATTGCAACGTTGTGATAAGGGAGGAGTATATTGACCCACTAAAGTCCAGACCAAGAAGCACATCGCACATTGGGTAAGCAATATACCGCCAAAAGGTTAAATGTTGATCTTTTTACTTCTAAAGTAACCTTAATGTCCAATGTGTTTCTTAGTCTAGACCTTAGTGGTCAATATGCTCCTTCTCCGTTGTGATAATGATATTGTTAAAAAGTGACATTGTTTCGAGATGGCATTGGAATATTGTGATATAGTCATTAGACATATTGTCATATTAGAATTGTCTTTTTTTTACCTCGAAGGCAAACTACCTAAATTAGTGGGGTAAATGTCGGGGAACATATACCAGAGTTTTATCTATAAAAGAAAGAGTACAAGTGAAGTGGGGAACTAGATCAAAACCACTTCTAAGAGGCATCCCTCTTAGCATTGTCACATTGACAAGTAGTGACATTGTTTTCGTTATGCCATTGTGTAATATGATTGTGAGACTGAAATGTTTTCGTCGATAACAGATGACATTAATGTATTGTGACATTTTTATTATATTGTGACATTGTGATGTACCAGTGTGACATTATGTAATAACATCTTGACATTGTTAATTAAGAAGTGACATTATATTGATGACAGTCATTAGACATTGTCACATTGCCAAATAGTGACATTGTTTTCGTCATGACATTGTGTAATAAGATTCAAGACCGTGACATTGATTTCGTTGATAACATTGTTAAATTGTGACGTTGTTATGTATGTGATGGAGTTTAATTCCAACTACAAGAGCTAATTTACGTATATAAAAAATGGGCAGCGTAAGACGGTATTATTAATCGGAAAAGCGGATCCCCTTTAGGGTAAGCACAAGACGTATTTATAGACACATGGCTACAGTAGTCTAAGGAGATATAACCGGAACATTTAATAGTCTAATCATGATGGAACTCTTCTAACGTCTCTTCCGTTAAGTCCCTACCACCACCAAATAGCCATGCGTAACCGATAGCTAGCCATGTAAGCCCTAAGGCGAGTCAAACTCGCTAGAATCCCGCCCAGGCTCGAGGCATGCTAATCAAGTCAGCCTGGATGTGGGTTCCTTCCGCGGGTTGCGGTCCCCTGTCAGGCCCAACTGGCTTTATTAATCCATTGATCCTGATTAATGGGCTATGTTTATTAATCTCGTATAATGGGCTTCACGCGTGTGATCTATAATTGGGCTATGAGTCTGTGGTACCATCACGAGCCCCCATACTCTCTAAAATAAGCCAGATTTGATTTTAGAAGAGTAACGACTTTCAATTTTTGAATTTTGCCCCACGAACTATGGCGCCGTTTTGCGTTTAATACAAATTATAATTTGGCATGCATCTGCGATTTCACGGTTTCCAACATTGCCTTACCAACTTCAGCACTTGAGTGTCTTGGTAGCGGTTCCCAAGCGGTTCGGAAAGCACCACGATCTTGCTATAAAAGTTATGTGTCTTCTCCGTGCAAACCTTATGCTAAATTCTCTCCGCGTAAGTCTGTAATTTCGGTCGCAAACCCTAGACGAAGGGAGACTTCTGTGGGAGTTTCCAGATCAATAGTTGATTAATTAATATTCAAAAATATGAAGAAATTGAGTAGAAGAAGAACAATTCATCAACGATCAATACCGTATATTCATAATGATATAGCGATATAGCATGATACGCGTATGAATTGTTGAGAGAGAAAACTAGAGGTGCTCTACAAGAATAATAGGTGCGGAATAAATTGTGTAGAGTCTTAGGTTGTTCGAACCCCTATGCCTGTATTTATAGGAGAGAAGTCGAGCATCCTATTACAATTAGGAATGGTGGTGCGTGAGTGGGCTATGAGCTAAAAAGTCTGTTTCTCTCAACAATTAAAAGCTTGCTAATGCTAAGACTAATTAATGAAAGATAATTACAATTAATTTGAACACAATAAATAATGTTCTAACAATCCCCCCCCCCCCCCCCCCTTTGTGTTCAAATCGTGATGTAGAGTATATTATCTTTGTGTCTTGTATAGCGATTTTCTGTAGCCAAATATGACTTCATAATTTCTGATTGACTGGATAACGATCCATGAGGTGCCCTTTACTTGCCCTTGCTCAAGCCCTTTTTCTTCCTTTTAAACCCGCTTCCCTTGTCTAGGTCATGAGCCTCCTTTTCTTCATTCTACTTCTTTCCACCACTGGCTTAAGGCTTTCCATCCCCTTCCTCCCTTTTCCTTCTCTCTGCCTCCTCCACTTCCGCTTGCTGGCGGGCTCGTTGTAAGGCTTCCTCGTGAGAGGTCAGGGGTTTTCGTACGAACTGTTTATGGAATTCACCCGAACTCAAGGCGTTGGTGAAAATGGCCACAACTACTTTATCGTCTAGGCCATCCACCTTTACAGATTCATCCCTCAAATGAGCCAGGAAGGCGGTCAAGGTCTCCCGGTGCCCCAGCTTGACTCCGAGGAGGTGAGAAAAGTTCTTCTTTGAGTCCTTCGAACTCGCAAATTACGCAATAAATGCTTGGGCTAGCTTCCAGAAATTTTGTATCCTTCATCCGGGTAAGGAATCATACCATTCCTAGGCTGGTCCATCCAGTCTCACAGAGAATCACCGACATCTGATTATGTCTTCATAGCCCATCATCACCATGTACGGCTTGTACCTAGAGACATGCATGGTGTTGGTGATTAGTCTTTCATCGGTAGGCCTCATGGTTACAAGGCTTGTAGCCCTGAGGCAGTGGGGCATCCATAATTCACCGGATAAACGGCTCGGGAATCCTTACATCATGGGTGAGGTTGGCTTCGCCATCTACCACTCTTCTTAAGTCATCAAGGTGTGTCCTAAGGTCATCCACGTCTCGCCCAACCTGGTTGCAAGGTTGGGGGTTATGATCTCTATGGGCACGCCGATGTACAGGGATCTCATCTTTAGGATTCCCGCACGCGCACTGCGGCGGTGGGAAGAAACGGCTGCATAGGACGCTTCTTCGCTCCTCTCAACCCTCGAAGAGAGCCTGTCGTGGACAGAAACCCTCCTTCCCCCATGCGGTCCATCACCGAGGTCCTCAGTGTTTGACGGGAATGATGCGACCTCTGAGACCTCGGTTGAGGTGAATTCCTTTGGCGGTGCGTAGAGAATAACTTGTGTTGAGCTCAAAACAATAGTACTAAAATGTGAGTTCATAGTATTTTGATTAATAACTTTTGTATTGCAGACAAGAGTACTAAATTGTGAGTTCATAGTATTTTGATTAATAACTTTTATTCCACGCACCAGAAGTGGCAAGACTGTCCCCACTTAACAACAATACAATGCATAGTTATAAATGTTTATTACGGAAAATGTATAATTAATACTTAATAAATGCTACTTCCTTTGAACGATAAAAATATTTATTTTATACGTAGTATATATTAGTGAATCTTATATTTCAAATGATTTTCATTTACTCTACATGTTTTATACTTCATCCGATCCAAAATAAACTTCACACTTTCCTTTTTGGATAGGTCCAAAATAAACTTCACACTTCTATTTTTGGCAAGTTTTTAATATAAAGTTACCCTTAAACCCTTACTTTATTATCTATTTTTCACTTACTCTCTCTTTCTCTCTCTCACTACACTTTTTCTACTTTTTGTAGGGGTATGATGGGAAAGTCAAAAACAAAAATTGCACTTTCTTAAAAATTATAAAGTTAAACTATCAAATTTATTTAGGACCGGAGGGAGTATCTCATATATAATCTAGTGTCTCCATTACTAAATTAAACAAGAATCATTAGTATTTAGATATGCATTAGACATTCATCGTTATGTTTACGATACTTTTTCTTATAAAATTAGGAAAAGATGGTGATGGTAGCATGGATCATTGTCATGGCCCAAGAACAAATTGATCGACTACACAGGAACGGCGAAGTAATCATGAATCATGACGAAGGAATGTTAAACTCTAATTCTATGTTGATACCAATGTTAACATGCCACGTACTAAAAGTAATCATATCAATGCAACATATGATATACATATCTTCGATCTAACAAAATCACATTGGGGACCAATGTAGTATTTAAAAATGGAAAAAAAAAGTAGATGCATTGGGAGGTTAATTATGCGTTTTCGGGGGAGGAGGCTTGCAAAGGGTTGAAACTTGAAAGTGGACAGATCACAGATGCAATCCAATCGGATGCTAACAAATTACTTCAACCGATAAAAGAGTACTCCGTAT